GTACGGCAAGAGATGATTTTCAGCGAGAGGTATCTTCAGCAAGAGAGGTCGAGACGCGCCCCGTGCGTCCCTTATATAGGCACGCGGCGACTCACTTAGCTGGCAACAAGGCATCGTCGTTGTTGCACTAATTCTTACACGAGGCGTCGAAGGAAAAATCCTAGAACCTTCGAGAATGTTCGAGGAGAGAAAAGTAGGAGTAATACCCTTCGGTGATCTTACAGTATATTATATTTCGCAGTATATTCGCTGGAGTGCGCGTCCCGGTCCGCACGTGAGGGCTAGTCTAGGCGCACATGCGGTTAGCCGGACAGCGCGTATAACCTTTCTTTTGTTTGAAATTCATGGGACTGCATCAATCCCGAACACCGACGTAATAAAGGCGCGGCATCAATACAACTATTAATACAACTACACCATACAACTATTATCAACAATTTAATGTTTGTTAAGATAGCATTTATTAATTATACAACAAAGGAAGAAGTAAATTCATAATACGTAATAATAAAGGAAACTTTATATTTAATAAAGAAACAACGATAAACATTAAAAGTAGTCTTGAATAATTGCACTGTCCCTTCACTTTACCAGCAACACCTCCACCCACTATCTAAGGAGGTTTTTTGTTTGATCCCAGACAGAATGAAAATATAATTCAAACACAATGTACAAATTTTATGCAAAAACTCAAAAAATTTAAATTATAAAGTTGGAGTCTGTTTTTTTTTTTTTTTTTAAACTATTTTAAAGCTCGCGAAACTTAAGAGTTAATTACGCTAAACGTCATTTAACGAGGAAACTTTTGGTGTATCTTAGCTAAATTGTTAAGATTTAAGGCATTATCAATTCGGAAAAAAATATCCACAGTACTAACATTACCCAACGTCGGGAAGCCAGATAATGCGAGTGTATCACCTGATATAACCATTATCATGACTTTATGCAAAAAATCTTAGGCATGGTATTGTTCGGAAAACAGAAATTTGAAATCCTCATTGGATATAATATACTCCCGCATACCCCACAGACATTTTATTTATTTTCGACTTCGAGAAAGTTTTTACTCGTGAAACTCACACGAGTAATGTGAAAAAACCAGGACCGTCTTCTAGAGAAAATCTAACAACAAAGTGAATTGAAACCAGAGTAAGACTACTCTACTACAGGGCGAAATAGCCATCGACAGCGATAGCGAAGAGAGGTACGCCGATGCTGGTTAAAGTCGCCCTAGACATTTTTCGATTATCCTGGATTTTTCGAAGTTTAATTAAAGAGGAATTCTTAAAGGAAAAATGACACTCGCCAATAACATTGAATAAATCATAAGAACTCCAATAATACTGATTTGCCGGAAGAGAGGCGTTCGTGTAGCGGTCATTCCGAGTTTACCGAATCTGTGGAGTGTGAAAGACAAAAGATCTGAAGATTCATCCGGAAGTTTGCAAAGTAGCAAATGTATTGGAGAACGATTGCGCCTTGTACTTATAGAGATGAATTAATATGTCGATGGAAGAAATGTACTCCGTATGTTTATGTGCAAATATAACGTAAGACGCAAATATACAATGTAATCATTATAAATCTATGAGTACTGATACGCGCTAATAGATAAAGATGACGTACGTTGCGTGATTTTGTATTTATAAAAATTAATTTATTTCATGCATCTTAATTCATTAGTTCTCTCAAAATAATTCTAAGAAATACACCAACACCAGACTTACAAAAAAATACTAAAAATAATAAAAAATAATAATAATTGAGGGAAAACGATAATTGAATTAAATGAAGATATTGAAATTAGTTGTTACATTTGTTTTTGGTATTTTTTAGAAGGAAGGTAGATTGCTTTTATTCGGCAACAGGTTTTTCTTTTTTATTTTCATTATATCTTGTATTACTTGATCTACCTTTTTGCTCGCGACCCATTATCATCCCAGAAAATATGTTGGCATATTAAGGTCGTGGACTGGGACTATCACAATACATACAGTTAAAATAATATTAATAATATAATTAATTAATGTGTTTGGATAAATGAACACGGTAGATTATAAATTGTATTAACAAGGACAATAATAATTAGGTAGAGTAACGAAAAATTGTCATTCTCGTGAGTTGAAAACCGAGACAACTATGAGAAGAGACTATAAAATGAGAAGCATAAAAGATTCATATTTTGGATAATAAAAAAAATCTCAGTTGTTATCTCTCTCTCTCTCTCTCTCTCTCTCTCTCTCTCTCTGCATATGTACATATTATATAAAAAATTATATTAATATATTAAAAAAACGTATATATACTACATATATACTTGAATTCTGTATAGAAAACAAATATTATCACTATCACGGTGTTTAACATCATTAACAATAACAATTTTATCGTTTTTTTTTATTTCTAAATAAATAAATGTAATTATTTAAAATACTAATATCTTTAAAACTACTTCTGCAACTTATTAAACACTTTGTTTTTCTTTCTTTTTCTGTATATTGATAAAAATTTATATCTATTTTATTATTATTACATTAAAATCCATTAAGTCATCCAAGTAGTAATAAATATATTTATTTTTTATTTACTTTCGTTGTAGGATCAATTTAATATCGAATAGAATATTTAAAATATGAATGTAGCGAATAAATTCAAGATACCAATTAAAATTAATTTGCTTTATCTTAAAAAATATCATTACTTTCAATTTTTTTTTTTTATGACAAATTTAAGTTAATTATCGCGTTTGAATAAGACGCTTAAATGTTTAAATAATGTTAGGTTAGCTTTATGTATGCAATTGTAAACGTAGCTATATGAAATAAGTGTATTATACATTATAAAAATACATTTGATATGCAAAACTGAATATGCCTGTGTTTTAACTGTACATATACAATATCGGTTATATCGGTTATATCAACCTGTCAAACTTTAAGTAAATATTAATTGGTTTTTGTATCGATACATGGTACTTTACAATTAGAATATCATATCTCAATAATATTCCAATTATCTTACCTATTTCATAAATCAATTAATTTAATATAAGTTTACATTACTTTGCGTTCTGAAGATTAATTATACATTTTGCTTATAATTTTCTTATCACATCAATTTACATTGTAGATGTTTCAAGGTTCTATATAAATTACAATATTTACCTAGATTTTAAAGAATTTTTATGATTTTATATAATGGAAAAGGAAAGGTGAGAAAAAGTTTAAAAGAAAAGTTTTTGTGCTTATTTTGTATAATAGTTACATACTAAAATATTGACTTATTTAAGATTTACAATGCTTTTATTGGATCCTGGAGAAATATTTTTTGAGGATTTCAGTGTTCAAATAAAATTAGAAAGATCAACAGATAGTAAACAAAATCAATGGCTAGATGGTCGTTTAAAATTATGCTCTAAATCTTTAGTTTTTGTTAGTAAAGATATTAATCAACCATTAATTAAAATTCAACTGAAAGATACAAATATTGCAGAAAAATGCAATTCAAACGATGGTCAAACTGGGTACAAATTTGTGTTTTGATAAAAAAATTTGCTTACTTTACAAAAGTAGCTATATTTATTTATTTATTTATTTATTTATTTATTTATTTTTTTTTTTTTTTTTTTTTTTTTTTTTTTTTTTTTAGATCAAATGATATTTTATTGGTTTATTGTAAACAATATATAGAAATGTTAAAGGGTAATGTACTGGCTCCTTATAAATTTGTACATGAGCCGACAAACTTCCTATTCTCTTTTAATTATGCCAAAGTAGACGATTGTTTGCCGCAAATGTCTCAACTTTTAAGAGCTGCTACGCTTCCAACCGCTGAACAAAATTCGATGGTAACATTAATACTGTTGTTTTACATAACTTATGGAATATGTAATGTACATTAGCTAATGCACATTATTTGAATATATATTATTTACTTGTATTTTATGCGCATATAATGTGAAATTAAACTAAGTACATTATTGATTAAGCGTATGATCATTAAGTATATTAATATTAATTATAATTCTAAACTTAATTTGACTGTTAGATTATGGCAATAGTGCACTCAAGGCAGTCACGATTTTCATTTGATACATCGTGGTTAGAGGATTTGTATGAACAAGTAGTATTTGAGGTACAAGCAAATAAAGTGTTACCATTGGTAATTAATCCAGGAAGAATTTTACTTACAACATGTAGAATATATTTTCAACCTTATAATAACATGGATCAAGTAAATTCATTTTTGTATTAAAATTATTCAATATATTTTATAAATTAATAATATTAATCCGTTAATTCTTTTGTTATAGTATCCAGTGCTAAAAATAAATTTAAAAGATATAAAAAATGTAATTAAAAGAAGATTTCTACTACGTCAAGTGGTAAAATATGTTGTTATATTAGAAATACAAATAATTATTTTAATTTATATAAAAACATTCGTTTTATACAATTTATTATTATAGGGTCTTGAAATTCAATGGACACGTCAGTCCGATAATAAGGATGAATATTTCTTTCTATCGATGAAAAATCAAGAAGATAGAGATGCTTTATATACCAATTTATTAAGTCAATCAGCCTTGAAGATTGAAACCATTCATCAGAATCATATGACAATGCAATGGCAAAATGGTTCTTTATCTAATTACGATTATCTTTTATATGTTAATAGGTAAATTAGTTCATTATTTTATTTAAGATTTCTTTCAATTAGTCGTATACTCTATATTGTCTGTGCACTTTATATTATATAAATGATTCTATGTTAATGATTTTTCATTGATTAATAAAATATGAAATAATAAGCTCTTTGCCACATAGGACACGATAAATAGGATTTTTATTATAACATTAATATTTTGTTTTATAACTATAATTCTCATGCGACGTACATCATTTTTATATTTCTAATTTTAGTTTAGCAGATAGAACATTTCATGATTTAACTCAATATCCTGTAATGCCATGGGTTCTACAAAATTATTCGTCGCATACCTTAGATCTCAATGATCCCAATGTATATAGAGATCTTAGTAAACCAATTGGGGCACTTGAACCAAAAAGGCTGGAGAGGTTGAAGGTATAATAAAAAAAAAAGGATGTTAAAATATGGAAATGTAGATTATTTAGTTGGTATATAGTATAATAAAGTTTCTAACTAATTGTAGACAAGATATTCCGAAATGTCAGAGCCAAAGTTTTTATACGGTTCCCATTACAGTGCACCTGGTTTTGTACTTTTTTATTTGGTGAGAAAATATCCACATTACATGCTTTGCTTACAGAATGGAAGATTTGATCATCCTGACAGAATGTTTAACAGGTAATAACAATTTATTTTTCAATACGGTTTTTATGTTAGTCTGAAAATAAATATAAATTGTAAAACAGTTTTTTTGAGTTTACTTTATTGAATTAAAAAACACGTTAATACTCTATCGACTCAACAGAATTAGATTTTATATTTCTGTCCTAACAACGTAAAAAACCTGACAGTGTAGCTGACGTCTGGAAAAATGTTTTGGTCAACATGTCTGACTTTAAAGAACTAATACCAGAATTTTATGACACGGCTAGCAATGGAGATTTTTTAATTAATAATTTTGGTATTGATTTTGGATTTCGTCATGATGGAACGAAAATTGCTGACGTATACTTACCACCTTGGGCAGAAAGTATTTACAAAAAATATTCTGAATTATTTTCATTTATTAAGTATTATTAAAAGTTACAATTATATTTATAAAATAAATTATTTATATTCATAGATCCATCTAATTTCGTTCATAAATTAAGAAATGCTTTAGAAAGTGATTGGGTATCCAAAAATCTAAACCATTGGATCGACCTAATATTTGGATATAAACAAAAAGGAGAAGAAGCTATTAAAGCCAATAATGGTACTTACTAACAAAATATGCATCTTTTATCATAATTAATATGCTTTATTCATTTATTTTTCTTCTTTAGTATTTTTTCACTTATGCTATGAAGGAGCAATTGATTTAGATACTATTAAAGATGTCAATGATAGGCATGGTTTGGAGGTTCAAATTATGGAATTCGGTCAAATTCCTAAACAAATTTTCAAATTACCCCATCCAAAGCGCTTGATAGCAATTAATTTCATTAGAAGCGAAACTTGTTTCTCGATACAACAAACTTCATTGTCTGGTTAATATACACTTTTCATTTTTTAAACAATTTTTGTCACTTTAAACAATAAATAATACATTTACAGAGAATAAAAAAATGCCAATTATTGAATTAAATAATTCTATTACATTTCAATCTCATAAAGAAGCTGTAAGTGCTGTAATCATTATTGCCGATGGAATGCAAGATGAAAATTTAGTTTCAGTTGGCCGAGATGGTGTTTTAAAAATCTATTCTCTGAAGACTGGCAAATTAACACGAAGTATTGCATTATCCTCCGTTCCTTTATGTTCATGTGCTTATTATCAAACACTTTCAAATGCTAATGTACTTGTAGTTGGTTCATACGATAACTCATTGTGTGTAATAATTAAAAATATTTTACTCACAATTAATCAACATAAATCATTAAATAAATGTTATTTTTTAGAATTTTCTATGACATTGAATTTGGTAAGATTTTCGATATAGTATATGGGCACGAAGATGCAATATCTTGCTTGGCTTATAGTAAAATCAATAACATCATTATATCAAGTTCTTGGGACTGTACTACAAAAATATGGCGTACTTCGGCTCCTGACAAGAAAATTAAACTAGTAGAACGCTTTGTAGCCGAACTTCATCATGATTCTCAAGTCACCTGTATGAATATCTCTAGGTAATTAATTTATAAATAATATCGATGAATCTTAGATAACTATTACATGAATATTGATAATTTTAGAGATGAAACTTTGTTGATTTCTGGAACAGAAGATGGCGAAGTTTTTCTGTGGAAATTGGATGATTCGTACAGTCTTCAATTTTCTGTTAAACGTAAAACTCTTTTGCTTTAGTCCCTAATTTTATATTTCAGAATTTTAATATCATAATATTAAAGCTAAATTACTTATTTAGAACACACATCAAAAATCAATGCAATAACATTTGAATCGGAATCCAAAAATATTATATCATGTGCAAGTAATAAATTACTAAGTGTTATCGATGTACAAACGAGTACGCAAACTTACTTAAGAACTTTAGAAGAAGAACCTATATGTTTGGCATGGATCAGTTCATATTTATTAATTGGAGATAGCAATGGAGATCTTTTAATATGGGATCCACAGAGTGCTGCATTCATTTCTAAATTCCAGTGTCACCAAGGTAATTATTAACAAAATCATTGTCATATGTGTTATTAATTACATATTATAACTCATACTGTGATTATAAATTATGAATGAATTAATATTATAATAATAATAAACAAAATGTTTCATTTTCAGGGCCGCTTATTTCGCTAACAGTATCATTAGACAATAAAAAAGTGATAACGGGTGGACAAGACAAAAAAGTTATTGTATGGGATTGTATAAAAAATTAAAAATTATAGAAAAATATTTATTTTTAAAATTTATTGTAAAATTAATGAGCAAGATCGAAATTTTTTGACTATGTTAACATTTGAAATAAATATATATGTGTTATTAAACTTGTAAGTTTTTTTAATCTTTAAATATTAAATATAATTAATCATAATAATCACTGTTTACGCTTGAATAATTTTTTATAATTCAAGTGTCATTTAAACTTAATTTATAAAATGTAACAGTATTTAAAAAATTAAAATTAATTGCATTAATTAAAATGTCGATATTAAATTGAAATATTTATCGTGACATTTTAAAATAATAAAAGTGTAGATTAATTTCAATTAAATATTTAATTCGCAACACTTTGTTATTAATTTAAGTTTTATACATTTTTATTATTATGGTTGTTACTATTATTATTATTTATATTTTTCAGTGTATTTTTCATGAAGAGCAAAAACAATTACGATAGTGTTGCAAAAAAATGGATAATTTAAAATGATCTACAATTTATTTTAAATTTTATTATAAAGAGAAAACAAAACATTTATTAATATATATTCTTTTTTTACAAAAACTAATGTAAATGCACGTATGCGTGCGTGTTAAAAATGAATTTAACATGTAATCTTTATATTTTTTTCAAAATTCTAAATTCGAAATATGATGCTTTTTATAATTAAAATAATTTAACATAATTTATTATTAATTACAATTTTAGAATAAGATATAATCCTAGTAAATATTAGATTGAAAGGACAAATTATAATTTTAAAATAGTGCAGGTCTGTCTATATTGGCTGTCGAATACAATGTAAATATATACTTTTTATTATAACACGTGTTATTATAATACGTATTTAATAAAAATAATAAAAATATAAGACTACGCCGCATTTATAAACAAAGTTTTTACTAGTATTAACGGTGGTATAAGAAAGAGATTAATTTTATAACGAATTATAACTTTCAATTGTGATCGGGAAAAGGAGTGAAATACTTAATCATTGCGCTCATAAAAATAGTAATGATTCACGTATACGCTTAACAAACAAAAAAAGACCCGACATTTAAAAATATAATTTCTATTATCTATATTTTATTTATTTCGCGATAATTTATATAAAATTTATTAAGATGCATTCATTTATATTTTATATTACTGTGAAGCAATTGATATTGTAACGACTATTCTATTATAACGAAAACCCTATATTTGTTACAATAAATGGAACTACGGCGTTAAATAAATATTTTTTTCAAATCTCGATTTTCAAATTTGAAAATGTAATACTAATTATCAATGACAATGTATATAGCTTTCTTTAAAATATCATACATGTGATAATCAAAGTATTTACTACGCTTTAAAATTATATTATTAGCTCATTTTAAAAAAAAAAATATCGAAGCTTCTATTGAAATCTAATGACAAACAAATTTGTTTTGAAAATTATAAAATAATATAATGAAAATTAGAACTTGTAAAAAAGAAACAAAGTATAAAATTGAAATGTTAGAGAATATATATTAACAAGTATAATAATAATTAATTAATTGAATGGAAAATCGAATAAAATAATGATAATAAAATATGATTTATAATAAAAATTTGTTGCCTCAGGTATTATAGATTTAAATATATCTTTTCGAGAGTGAAATAATCTTCCTCTTTTTTTAAATTAGTAAGTAGCTATTCGTGACAACAATTTTTATATCGTTAAATAAGAATTTTAAAATGTTATTTATCGAAATATTTAATTTTTAATTGTTTACATATATTTCAATAATATTAATTTGCAGATATTTAAGAGAAATAGTTAATAGTAGTAACTTATGAAAAATTAATGGGCTAATGTACTTTCTTGTATATTTCAAAAATTCTTCCCGATGTATGTATGAAACATATTGTGTCAATAATAGTTTTTCACATTGCAATTTTAATAATAATAAAATTTCAACTTTACTATGTTTTCTACTCATTGACAATTAATCATACGAATTCAAGTTAAACTCGTGAAGTTACATATCGCACGTACAAGCTCTAGTTTACTTGAATTATTCTTATAGTTTAAGTTCGAAATAATCAGTCCGACTTCGACACGAAATTTAAAATTTATAAAATACTAATGCTAATCAACGAGCTTTAATAAACCAAAAATTAAATCTTATAATGCTTCTAACATTGGCCAATCTCTTAACATTTAAATTTTAACCAGCGACCTTAAAAATTGGTATAAACACTGCGCAGACTCTACATTTTATTTCGAAAAACTCATTGATAAATTCATCTCGGGTAGCAGGACATACAGCCAATATTCTCATTTATATGATATTAAATAAGGAACACTAGCGTACGTAAGAGGTGCCTGTGTATTTATTTTGGTTAAATGCATGTTCTATCATAAATAATAAGAACGAAATATCAATTCTTGATTAAACATTTTTAAAAATTATCAGGGATCATTTTATTTTATTTTTTTTTTTTTTTCATTATATGTAAAATACTTATTGCTTTCGAAGAAAGATAAAATAAAATTTTATATTTATAAGCTTTGCAATTCTTTACACTGAAGCATATTATTACATTAAATATTGTGATAATCTATATGGTTATTATTAAACCAAAAGAACGACTTAACTTTACGGTGTACTAAACAAGAGTTGATAATTAAATCAGATAAATAGTTTTAATTTATTGTGCAATTAAAATAATAATATTAATTGCAATTTACTATAGATTTGGAAATTTTTATAAAGAATTTTTATAGTTTGAAGTATTGCATTTTCGAGGAAGATTTTGAAAAATAAAACTTTCTTCTCGTATTTAATATTGTTTCAATAACCTTGCGAAAGGTTATCTTAAATTTCTTATAATGCACAGCTGTTTAGTTTGTTGGAAATAAAAAGCGTCTGTGATCTTAGAAAAAAATTCTGTCTGAAAACTTATTGAAATATTCGTTATAAATTTTTTTACATTTCAGATACACTCGAAATACAAAATGCCAGAAAATGAATCTAAATCGGCTCTTGGTATGTTAAAAAAAAATATTATATATTTATTAAGTAATCTTGAAAGTCTTGATTTTTCTTAAATATAAGCATTTTTATAAAACTATATTTTTGTAGATGCCATTTATACATCTGAAAAAATGGGTAACGATGAAAGTGGAAGTGGAACTGAATCTAAGCCTTTTAAAACAATACTACAAGCTATGAGACATGCGGGTCAAGAGCCATTTCCTGAAATTTATCAAGATTCAAAAGAAGATGAAAAAGTTTACGAGCTTGCTTCTAAGTCACAACTTAAAAAAATTCACAAAATTTGGATTAGAGAAAAATATAATAACAGAGAAAAGCAAAAAAAGCTACAAGAAGATGAAGAAAAAAGAGTTAAAAATTTAGAAGAATCGAAATCTATTATTATTGAAGAAGACAAAAATTTACCTGCTGCAATTCTTATTAAAATTAATAAAATTCAAAACTACAAAGAACAAAGAATAAGAATATTTGGTTGGGTACACAGATTAAGACGTCAAGGTATTAGTTAAATTTACTTAGCTAATATAATTAGTTTAATAAGAATATATATATACATATATTAATGTATATATTTATCTGTTTGTATAAGGAAAATCATTGATATTCGTAACATTAAGAGATGGTACAGGATTCCTTCAATGTATATTGAATGATAAATTATGTCAAACGTATGACGCTCTTGTACTTAATACAGAAGCTTCTATCGAATTGTTTGGAATACTCAAACCTGTTCCAGAAGGAAAAACAGTACATGAAATTATTATCATACAAACAAATTTATAGCTATAAAAATTAAGAATTACTCGTTTTAGGCTCCAGGTGGACTAGAGTTAATAGTGGATTATTGGAAACTTATTGGAAATTCACCTCCTGGTGGAGCTGATTCAATTTTAAATGAAGAAGCTCATCCAGATGTGCAACTTGATAACCGACACATAATGATTCGAGGTGAAAATGTAAGCAATTTGTTTTGATATTTGTGATAAAAAATTTGATCTTTCATTTAAGTATTAGTATATATAATTCTAATCTATCCTGTAATATTATAACCGAATTGTCGATTATAAATACTAATATTATATTTAAATAAAGAATATGTATTTTGTTTAATGATTATCGGATTTCGTTTATATAAATATATATTATAATTCTTTTTAGACTTCTCGTATTTTGATTATGAGATCAATATTAACCCAAGCATTTAGGGATCATTACAAAGATAGAGGATATTGTGAAATAACGCCTCCAACTCTTGTACAAACTCAAGTTGAAGGAGGTTCAACTCTATTCAAACTTAATTATTTTGGGTAATATATTCAGTATAAAATTTCCGTTCTTTCTATGCTTTCATTGATTAATTACGATTATCTTTTTAAGAGAGGAAGCATATTTAACACAAAGCTCTCAACTTTATCTTGAAACTTGTATACCTGCGATGGGTGATGTATATTGTATAGCTCAATCTTATAGAGCAGAGCAGTCGAGAACTAGAAGGCATCTTGCAGAGTATGGAAAATAATTTTGAAAGGAAAAAAATTTATTGAAGTACTACTTTAAAATGTATAATATTATATGCTCCGATTATTTTGTAGATACACACATATTGAGGCAGAATGTCCATTTATCACTTTTGATGATTTACTTGACAGACTTGAAGATCTAATTTGCGACGTTGTAGATAAAGTTTTAAAATCACCAATGGGAACTCTCGTTCAAGAATTAAATCCTAATTTTCAAATTCCAAAGCGACCATTCAGAAGAATGGATTATACACAGGCTATTGAATATTTAAAGGAAAATAACATTACTAAAGATGATGGAAGTTTTTATGAATTTGGAGAGGTAAGCAAATAATGTATACTTTAATATTTTACAATAATATTTAGGAAGTTAGAATAAACTTTTTAATGCTAAACATTTATTTATTAGGATATACCTGAAATGCCAGAAAGGAAAATGACAGACAAGATTAATGAACCAATAATGCTATGTCGTTTTCCGGCAGAAATTAAGTCTTTTTACATGCAACGTTGTCCCGAAGATAATCGGTTAACAGAATCTGTTGATGTTTTACTTCCAAATGTTGGTGAAATTGTAGGAGGATCAATGCGTATTTGGGATCATGAAGCTTTATTAGAAGGTTATAAAGGCGCAAATATAGATCCAACTCCATATTATTGGTATACAGATCAGGTAAATATTAATCTTCATTAGATTAAACGATATTCAATAAAATATTAAAAGCATCAATAAATTCAATACAAAATCATTTTTTTCTATTCATAGAGAAAATATGGAACATGCCCTCATGGAGGTTACGGTCTTGGCTTAGAAAGATTTATTTGTTGGCTTTTAAACAGATATCATATCAGAGAAGTTTGTCTGTATCCTCGCTTTTTGGAACGCTGTCGTCCATAAATTAAAAATTTTAAACAAAATATATGCTTCCAGCAACCTTTATTTTAATATAAATTATATTTATAACTACAAATTTCATTTGTTATAAATTATATTTATAACTACAAATTTCATTTGTTATAAATATAAATTCTATTTATAAAAACAAATGCATTCAATATCACAAATAAATCTCTTTGATATTCAAATTAATTGTTGATTTAAGCCTTTATTCTTAATCTTTTGTTCATTGAAGATTTTATTAAGAATGTCCAATAATACAGAATACATAATTCAATGATAAATTTACTAAAAGCTATCGTTATCGAGTTGAATATTTAATGAAAAGCTTGACTTACATCATTCCTGACAATACTTCGATCCAAAAGATTATGTAATCATCTTTGAAAAGATATAGCGAATTAAAAAGATATTACGCAATTTCTTTTCTCTATTCACATTGCTATTGATTAAATTTAATAACTTACTTAAAAATGTGTGGTAATTAATTTTTTTATTACATCAATATTATAAAATAGATGAATTACCTCGCTCACAAATATAAAAACAAGACAAACTATTTCTATTACACAATACAACCAATACTGTTAACTGAAATAAACTAAGGTAATATTCTAATAATTTTCTTTTAAACAATTTTTATCAATTGATTCTTGACAGTACATATATTTAATTTACAATAATTTTTATTTCGTCTAACTAGACCCTATTTGATTAATGAAATGGAATTGTATTTTGAGTGTATTGTATGAAATTCACTATATAAATTACTTTATGGAAGTGATATTGAAAAACAGTAGTAAAATATGTAATTTTAAAATAATTCAGGTATAAATAAAGATTTCAATGATGATGAAAATTATACTACACAATAATTACAATAATAATTATGACAGATTTGAGATAAAGAGCGCTTTGTGAATAAACAAAATTTGCAAAACATTCACATTTTTAATTGTTTTTATTTTACTTGAAACATATGATTCTGAATGATGTAATTGTGTTGAACTATTTCACATCTTTATACACTATATGAATTAATTATATTTATTCTTAATTATGATTATGCTATATCAGAAACTAGATTACGCTTATAGAATTTAAAATAATATAAAATATAGTATTAAGAAATTGTATACAAAAAAAATCACCAATAAATAATATGAAAATATAAATAAATACTAAGTGAATATTGGTTACAAGTATTCTTATAATCGCTTAAATTAAAATTAAAATTCTATGTTTTGCAATAGTAGAGTAATAATTCATAAATTAAATTTTAAAAACTGATTTTAAACTGTATTGGAGTAAAAGCGAAGTTAAATTGATTTAAATAACATAAAAACCTGTTCAATTCCAAAGATATATCACATTGCATTTAATAAATAATCATTAGAATATTAAAGTATTTGAAGACGTAAAGACAAACTATTTAATATTCTTTAATATTGAAATTTCAAAGTTCCTTAGAAACACACAGAGTGTGAAAAAAATTAGATAAAGCATTTAATTCATATAACATTTTTTAATATACTTATTGGAATTAAGACAAATGTATACAAGAACTTTTATGTTTCGAATATTGATAAATTTAAAATGTACAAAAAACAACGTCAAAAAATATTTGGATGAATAATTAATAGTTAACAAATGTCATTATATAATAAAAAATAAAAAATATTAAATATAAATCAAATAATGAAGTGAAAAAATTATATAACCATTGCCTTTAACGAAAAACAATCTAACTATTAAAAATTCAAACTAAGGAACTTATTCCGAAATTTTATTCCGTGATGAATTAATGAATTATAAGCGACTGGCTATTAATATTAATCTGTTTCGCCATGAAAAAAAAAAATCATTTTTCCATAAAGCATCTAAAATTAAACGAACAAGATTTTAATTTGGAAAAAAGGGAATCGATAATGAACACAAGTTATAAAAAGAGACGATATATATTTTTCAATAACATTCATATATATTTATAAGATAAAATTCTTCCGCATTAGTGCCAGTACTCGTACCTAACATTGTTGCAATTTTCTAGCTAGAAAATCATTATTTTTACTAATAGTTATTAATACTTCAACGTTTCATTATTCTTCTATCATATTAATACTAAAACAAACAGATTGTTCGCAAAAGATAAAAATATCTTTAAATATTTCTCAATAAATCAACAAAGTGTATTCTATTAATTACATGATATATCTTTTATAGAACTATTTAATGAAAATCATACATTGAGCGTCAATTATAAAGATATTCATCAAAATATATTATAACTCTTATAAAATTATCGTTTTATTTTATTTAATAAATTAGCAATCTTTATTAAGTATTTACTTTTGTTTAAAAAAAATATATTTCAATACTTTAATTATAATTTGAATATAGTATATGTGTATATATATTCAAGAGTAATTTTCATTAATAGTTAAGTATTTACAAGTACTTAGTGCTCTTTTATGATATGTATTCATTTGAAATTTTATTTATCTAATGATCTATTTAATCATAATTTATTTCAAATTTTACTTTCATAATGTTTATTTTATAATTTACTTTGAAATAGATATTAAAATATTTAAGAATATTGAATCTAAGTGTAATTGTGCATTTTTATTTGATGTTATAAGTTTGAATATAAAAAAAACATCTGCTTCATTTGTGCTGTAAGGAAAATCGTATTTCACAACAAAAATAAAAATAAATGTATAAAATATAAAATTGAAAATACTATTATAAAGTATATAGCAAAATAATAAATAAAACTACAATAATAAACTTATTTACACTAGGTATTTCTACAACAATGTTCATTTTTAATAAGATGTTGCTTTTTTTCAATATTTGTTTGAGTTGGTTTAAAATTTTTTTAATTGCTCATAGGTAATAAAAAATATAATATTCCAAGGTCCCATTCTAAGCCACGTCGGTATGAAACCTTTATAGAGCGCAAAAAAGCCTTCATTTTTGAATGTCTGAAAAATAAATTCATTTTAAATTAATTAATATATCTAAATTAAAAAAAAAAACAATTTATTCGTGACAATTTAATAATACAATACCTGAACAAAACACTCTATACTATTAGAATAGATATAAGAAGGTAAGGATCCATCAACTGTTTGTATCCTCCTTTGATTCATTAAACGTGTCTGAAATGAAGAAGTAAAACTATAGAATGCTAATACTTCTTTTTTTTTTTTTTTAATTTTTATTTGGTAAAAAATTTTACTCGAACAACATCAATTGGAGTAGATGACACAGCACTTCCCATACTTGCAATAAAACTAGATCTGAAAAAAGATTTTGAATATTATTGAGAGCTACATAGACTGAACGAGTAATAAAAATGTATTCATATTGTTAGTGACCCTTATCTAAGCAAATTTATTTGTTTAGTTATATCAAGTTATATATAAATAAATAAATAATTAATCATTTAGTATATAAGTATTTTCATGTGTAGCAATGTAAAGATTGCTAACCAGATGCATGAAAATGTCTGCAAGTTACTTGGATGTACAACACGGTAGACTGTTTGTATGTTCTTCTATTGGGACAAGTGGTCATTTTGATTTTTATAGTTAAAGAACGTCCTTATTATTGACAAATTACCTGTAAATAAAATCTATACAAATAAGTAATATTTGCTTGAATAAAGGTTATTGAAAAATGTAAAATCTTCATCGGAACATATATGTATATATATATATATATATATATATATATATATATAGGTATTTAATATAACATTTTCATATATGTAAATAATATACATAATATATAATTTAATCGAATAATCTTATTAACAGGTATAGAAATATTATATTACTCACATAAAATGATTATTAACACTATCCCCTATATAAGGTAATAACTCTTTTTTACTAAAATCATATATTGGCAACTCCACTGCTGCAATAATTGCTGCTCTTTGCGCAGTTGGACCAACTCCCTATAACGATAAAAGTCATTAATTCGTTTATTTAAAATATCAATACAAATATATAAATATCGAGATTGTAATATTACCCTCCATAAGCCGCGGATACCTTCGTACTGATAAACATCTTGGAAGCAACCGTATAAAGTTAAGTTTGCTTCAACACCGGTAACTTGCATCCGAACTTTCACAACATCGGTTGGGTTTGCTATTGCGCTTGAGATAGCTCCCGCTATTGCTGCACATACAATATTAATTAAAACTATATCATTAGTTCCCCACCTATCTGTAGCACTTTGCTTAAGAGAATAATAAGTTCCAAATTTAATAGTTCCATAAGTTGCTTGCCTCAAGATTGCAGAACTAATTCTAATAAAATAGATATTTTAAATCCATAATTTCTATATATTAAAATTGAACCAATACTGTATAAATTGTTTAAACGCTTACCCAGAATATAAGCCTTTAAAACCTTCTTGTTTTGTTATTTTAGCTAAAGCGTCTATCATACCAGAATATTTTAATTTAGAATATTTTTTATCATGTTTTTGGCCTTGAATTTGCAAACGAGTTTTTGTTGTGTCTAGTGGGAAGGTACCTAAAAATTTATAAATTTCAATCTGTGGTCGAGTGTATTGAAATAGATATTAATTACCTAATTCAGCAACAATAGATGCTAAGCCTCCATATACAAACGGCCTCCAGTCCTGAATATTTGAATTTTCCATCTCAATTTTATCCTCTTCATTCATTAAAAATATCGAGTTTTCTATTATTTATTATGCATCAAAGCTTATATTTTAACTTTCACTCTCTCATCTATTGTGCATAAATTATGTTTCATCTGCAATTATTCAAGAGCCAATATAGCTTTATCTACAAACTAACAAAAGTCAAATATTATATTAAAATGCATTTATTTCAGTCGTTCCTAAATTTAATTTTTGATGCTTCTTTGTACAAGAATTTGTGACAAATTTAGCAGCAAGTCTATAAACGTCCATACAAAATTTTAATTAGAATTTGATTGTATTCTACAAATATTACACTATTGTTGTGCAATATCATTAATTATTTAATAATAAAATAATCAACGGCAATGGATCAAACAAAGTCACTTATTACAGATTCTCTTTGCACAAGTTGACCGTTTAACAAAACATTAAAATAAAAACTCTGCTCCGCCAAGCAATTTTCCAAAATAACTCAATTGTCTACATTTAATTTTCACACTATTAACTTAACTAAAAAAGCACACATCCCTAAAATTAAACCTAAAATTATAAAGCAATATTATTTTACATTACGATAAAAACGAATCCAATGCCCTATGCACTTCATTACGAAATTTGTATGAACAGAAATTTTAAAAGCAAATCTAACGAATTACCTACAGATCCACTCTTATTTAAATATTCAGCCAGACATTGGCAGTTAAAGCTCTTTTGCCAAACTACCCACCAGCACCACTACTACGCAAATGTTAAGCCCTGACCTTACCGGAGCTTTAACAATTCCTTTATCCGATATCTAGTCTACATTACCTTGAATATTTTGCAGACGCGCGCACCCACGTGCCTCTGAATATTTTTCAAACGAGGCAAACCCGAGGAGCTCCTCTATTACCTGATAATGGTAATTTCAATCGAATTATTATTAATTTCCGAACTTTTCAAGCGGGCATTGCACATGTGTGTACAAGCATACGATGCATTAATTGGTGATTGGCAACAAGTAATGTGTTTGTTTATTATTTTGTACTATGACAATGTGAGATAAGGAAGTTGACTGTGATATTGGTATGTTGCTTAGTAGGAAGACATATATTTCACTTTTACTTGCATTGTTAGTATTGAATTTGGGAATTTTTGTCGGCAAGTTGAATTTAAAGGTGAATGAAATAATCGAAAGAGAAAAATGCCCTGCCTGTTTTGGGATCAACCTGTGCCAGGATATCGATGATAATAAAGTCACATTAGAATATACGGATTTCTATTCCATTTTCAACAATTTGTTAGGCATAAAAAATATCTATTATGGTAAATACGGAGGTGACAAAGTTATTATTAAAAAATTAGCACAGAAAATAGAATTGGAAGGTTTTGACAAAATGATTTGCAGTGATTATGAATTAATGGAACTTTGTTTCAATAAGCCTAAGGCTGTAAATACGATGAAAAATTTTTATAACTTAATTGTTGCCGAATTGATTAGTGCTGATATGAACGATCCAAATGTTAAAATAAGGCTTTGCCCAACAATATCAAAACTTCCTGAGCTCTTTTCGAATGTTCTAACAGAAAATAATCTTAAAAATGCTGACTATTATAAATACTTATGGAGTTTGATACAAATAAATCCTGAACCTATTCTTCTTCAGGTAATCTTAAATAAATTTTGGTTTAAGGAAGCTTATCATTAAAAACATATTAAATATTGCAATTATATAATTATATTTTTTTATAAATGATAACAAACTTGTTCTACAAACTTGCATAGATATTGTCATCCAATGATAATTGGCCAACTCCAAAATATTTTGGTGCATGTGGTCGTATTGTAATAGTAGAGTACATTGGTTTGCCTTTATCAGCCTTTATTCAAGAGACTTGGATCGAAAGAGCGATAATAGCTTCTAGTCTCCTTGATGCTGCTTACGCATTCACATTTAAAAATCCAAAGTTTGCATTTTATCTCACTGATATATCCATGGATAATATTGCGGTGAACAATGAACAAAGAGCAATATTTGTTGATTTAGAAAATACAATTATTGTAGATAAATATCCTTCGGACGAAGGTAAAATTATTTTTAATTATTTTATAAAAGATAACGTAAAGTAATTAATTTTGATGGCTCAATCATATCTAAGTATCGTACGAATTTAGTACAATATCTGGTTACATTTACGTATAATTTACAAAATAATTTATGAAATAATGTATTCCGATAAAATTATTAGTATGAATCGATGCAATTAATCTTATTCATTTTAGTCTTAAAAGAAAAAACAGCATGGAACGTAACATATACGAATCAGGTTTATACTGACTGCAAAGATTGCTTTATATTTTCGCCAACTGATATATGTAATCATAAGATTAGCGATCATAACTATTATGCTATTTGTCAGGTAATTTTTGTTTCATAAACAATAAGATCACAATTTACAAAATACATTAATTAAGGTTATTTTATATTCTTAGAATATTCTTGTACAAGGATTACATACAAATTTTGATAATCAAGGATTATTACATAACATACCAAGTACAATTCTTCAGGAATATCCGCAATTGACATATTTATTAAATCAATGTTCAAAGCCAGATAAATTTCAGTCAAGAATTGAATCTGGTAATCAACTTAAAAAAGTATTAGATACGATAATTAAGAATATAAAATAGTTTATTATGTACATTATTTATAGTCCAAATTTTTACATTGACTTTCAAACAATTTTCTAAAATTATTTTCTACTTTTGATTTTCTAGTTTCGCTAATTTGGTTTGTAGTTCTTCTATTTGAATCATTTGCTCCCTTATAATTTGGTCTTTCTTTTCATTATCATTTTGTAACCTGATATTTTCGTACTGCAGTTTATTTATTATTAAATCCTTGTCGATTTTTAAATCTTCCAATAGTTCATCCGTTGAAGGTCGCCTGGATGGATTTTTTTGAACCAATTGCTTAATTATATTTGCCTATGATTATATTAATTTAATTTAGTAGAATTAACAAAAAAATTTTACAGTTACTGCAAATTAATTTGGAAATTATGCGTTTTACCCATTCTGGATATGAAGCATCAAGGGCTTTTGGTATTTCATTATCTTGCAATGTTTCAATCATTTTAATACATTCCATAGACGTCTGCATAGGAATTAAAAGCTCCAAAAGAACAATTCCTAAACTATAAATGTCACTCTAAAAAAAAAAAAAAAAAAAAAAAAAAAAAAAAAAAAAAAAAAAAAAAAGAATTTATAAATCAATTATTAACCATTAATATAATTATTTAATATCTACAATATTAAATACCTTTGGATTGCATTCTCCTTTTAATTGCTCAGGAGCTGCATACATGCAAGTTCCAACAATTGCATCGTGATTGTCTCTTTGTAAAGGGCATGCCAAACCGAAATCTCCTATTTGTACTTGTAATCTTCCCGATGTCGAAATAAAAATGTTACTAGGCTAGACATTTAAATTACATAAATTTTTGTTTATACGAGCTCTAATTAATTTTCTTTAGCTTATGTAAATTGACATATAGATTAGCTTTTACCTTGATATCATGATGAACAATTTTTAAGGAATGAATATAATTGAGTCCACAAAGAATTTGCGATGCTATGTTAGCTACCAATGTCATGGGAGTAGGTTCTTTCCTTTTATCTAACCATTGTCTCAATGTATTTTCACATAATGCCATCTGAATATATAATATTGCATATTGATTCTAAAAAAGAAAACATTTTACTATTTGATTTGTAATATTGTATGGGATAAACGGCATAATAAAACAATTGTAAAACAGACAAAAATTTACTTTTTGAGTAGAATACCGATGAATTCTACAGTCATCGAAAGAATCATCGCTAGAAAAACTTTCTTCCGTGGTAGTTCTAGAATTTATTCCTATAATATTATTATCCATGTCGCTTCTAACACTAATATCACATAATTCATTATCGCCTCTAAAAGAAACAATATCTGAATTTGAATTAAGAATTTTAAAATTAGTTTTACTTATTATTTTATTATTATTCAGACTTTGGTGATCGCTTAAATATCTATTGTTAGATTGCTTATTAATATGTTTTGTATATGTGTAGCTTTTATATCCAGCCAATGAATTTGTTGTGTTACAACTTGGATGCTTTTTATCGCTACAATTTCTTTCTGATCCGTTTGCAGATGGTAGTTGTGGCACATAAGATCTCGACATTGGTTCGATCCATGCTTGTTTGTAAGAAACTATATTAGTATGATTCAATTTGGCAAGAGTTTTAACTTCTTCCAAATGACTAATAATAGTTTTAACTTTCTCAGGACGAACGACAATTTTTTTTATCGCATACTCTACTTCGTCAAGTTTATGTATAGCTCTATAAACATTTCCAAAACCTCCACTAGCGATAAAACCGGTTTCTTGAAATTGATCTTTATAACAAGACACGTACGTTGCAAGAGATCTAAACGAAAATAATTCATTCTATGTTAGTACTATAATTAGATTTATCGATTAATAAGCCATTTTAAACATTTATAAAATTTTATAAAACTTTAACATAATTTATATAATATAGTACCTTGGTAGTGGCACTGAATTCTCGCTTCCTATTGTTGCTCTACCAGTCTTAATTAAATTATATATTGCGTCCATATACCTTCCTTCCACTAATTCAAAACCTCCCAATTTATATGAAGGATCTATTAATTTCATATTGCGCATAGTGTCACATAATACTAAAATAATTTTTGATGATGACATTAAAAATTTTCATAACGATGAGATTTTTATATTAATTTCTATATACATTTGAATTGGTTTATTTTACATTTATTAATAGTATTTATAAATATATCCTACTTACGCAAATACAATTTTCTACTTTGTATAGGATCTTTTTCAAGTACTCTGCACAGCTGATTTATTAGGGAAACTATTAAAACACTGGAAGATGACACTTTCTTTATTGTATCATTATTCTTTCCATTTTCATTTATAAATTGTGTTAAATATGCACTGCCACCTATAAAACATTATTGATATATCATTATTGAAAATTAACGACTTTACATTATTGGAGAGTTAATCTAAATATATATATTATTTTATGACAATAGGACTAGAAATATATGTATACATTATTTTGGAACATCAGAACCATACTTATGACGAGTTTTTAAACAATCATTTTATAATTTTTAATGTATTTATACTATACCCCTGTCAAATGTAGTGACTGTTGGCAAATTGCTCCAAAGATTATCCTGAAATCGTTCGTCTTCCATAGTCAAAATTTCTCCGAACCATAAAACTAGGTAACTTAACTCTATTTCGCAAAGCTGCTGAAAAAAAATTTTCTTTTACTCTAAAATGTGTATATCAAAAAATAAATTGAAGGAAATTTAATCGTTGCCTCAAGCATGGCAATTCTATACGCTTGCACATATGCACGAGGGAATGCACTTATTTATATATACATGAGCGCTTACGTACGTGTGTGTACAATCAAGTATCAATTAGGCTATACTGCGTATATTGTCCAATTAATTGAAGTTTGCAGCGAAATGAGATACGATTTTTCGTAAACCAAACAAGTGGAATAAACACCAGTGTTGATTTTTACAAAATTACGTCCCGGACGTAATTAATGCTTAAAAGATAATTTAATATTTAACGTATTATTCATTGGTCTTATGAATTATTAATCCATGCCTACAACTTGTATTTGTTCATCTAATCAATAATACACAATGAGTAAAATGATGTTTTTTACAATCTCCCGCTTTTAAATGGCAACGTTACACGCAGGTCGTAAGATCTTTAAACGTAAGGGTCTTGTCAGCAATGAAAACCAAACTCACGTTAAATGAAGTCTTGTGCATTCAATGTGAATCTGCCTTAAATAGCGAATGCAGCGCCATGAAAAATTCGTATTTGAAAACATTTAATTTTTCAAAAACGGTCGACAGTCAGCCTTGCAAACAAACCGTTGATAATAGACGCTATTGTTTTTATATTGAGGAGTTATCGGCGTTCATAAGATGTAGATAATAAATAAAAGAATTTCATAATTTTAATTTCAATTAAAATTAAGTTATTGTTGCACTGCTTTAGTTAAATATATCTTATTTCTATTGTATATTGTAAGTTAATGAAGATTCGAAAACGATCTTCACCATGTTTTTTCAAGTAAGATCTTCATAATTTATTTATTTATAGTAACATTGTATCTACTAATTATAGTTATAAAAATTGTTTGAGTTTTTGTTATTTTGCAGATTAATGTAACACCTAAGGAAAAAAAATTAATGCAGCCAATTGCGAAAAATGAAGTTGTTAATTATTCTCTTTTATTGGCTCCATTTCAGCCACCAACTAGAATTAAACTCGATACTCAAATTAATACTCCAATAGAGAGGGCATTAACGATAACAAATTCAAATAACCGCTGCTTAACAGTAAGAATAAAATTAATACAATTGTTATTATACGTTATTGTATGTGAATTTACTTCTTCTTTTTCTTTTTCTTATACTTATTTTTTGCATATTTAGGTATCTGTAATAAAAATTCCTCCCGAAGAGAGATGTATAAGTTTTAATACAACCGAATGGTGTATTCAGCCAAATACTAGTGTTATTTTAAATATAATTTGGAAACCTTGTGAAAGTGGCACTTGGAGAGATATACTGCAATTGTCAGATAGTAGGCATATTAAATACGATGTTCCTCTTATATTAACTTGTACTAATCCAAATAAAGTAATAAACTATAAAGGAGGTAGAAAAATAAAGCAAAGAAATCCATTAAGGAAAATGAATAACGTATCTAGTAGTAAAAAGTATAATGTAACGAATCAGAAATTTGATGTATCGAGTAACAATAATTATAATGCCCCCAAACTTCAGCCTACATTGAAAAGGAGTAGATCTGGAGTTACCAAACTTTTAGATAAAGAAAATGTTTCCAATAATATTGATTTTAATTGGATGATGGAACAAGCGAAAGCAAAGAAACAAAAAAAAGAAAACCCATCACCGCCTACAGTATTAGATTTTTCTAAATTTCTTGAAACATCGTCTTTTAAATTTACGCCAATAAAATCTAAATTTACATGTTTCGATTCCAGTAGAATTAATAATAGCACTGAATTTTGTACCAATGAAGGTAAGCCCATAACAACGATCTTTGATTATCAATACTTTCTAATTTATTAATTATTTATTATTTATTAAATTTTATAAATGCTTTGTATAAAATTTAGATACTATAAATAATCAATCACTTTTGAAATCGGAATCTTGTCTTACAATGATAAATGAAACGCAAACAACTTTACGAAAGGAAACATACATAAAAGTTCCTAGATATTCAAATTCACAGATTGAGAGCCCAGAATCAGATATCAATGATGAAAATCATGATGAATTTGATGATTCTTTATCACCTAAACCATTGGAAAAAGAAACTAATAAACAATCAGAAATTTCTATGTTATTAAATAATATAAAATTCACTCCATTTAAAACTACAAATTTAAAGAACAATGACAAAATAAAATTCTCACCAAATAGATGTTCGACAGCTCATAAAACAAACAGATCTAATTCCTTTAGCGATGATTCTGTGAACTTCTCAGCGAGCAAAAATACAACATTCGATGTTAGTTTATCGAATAGTTGTAAAGACAGTACCTTCGATCTGCCTGTATCACCAACTACCACTAAACATAGTTTTCAATTTAAACCAACGTGTCTAGCTGATACATTTGAAAAGCAGAATATAGACGTAAAATTTTCAACCCCATGTCCAATTACCAATAATATAAGTAAATTAAGTGATCATATAAGATTAAGTAATCAATTCTCAAAGAGTCAAGTCGATCTTGGAAGTGCAAGAGATTGTTTAGAAGCAGATTTATGGGTAAAATCTAACACCTCATTATCGCCATTATCGAAAAATATAATGCATTCTACTTTAGACAATGTAAAAGATGATAAATATTTAAATAATTTAATGGAAAATTATAAAAAGAAATCACAAACTGTAAAAACTTTTTGTATCGAAATTTCACCACCAAAAAAGTTTATCAATAAATCTTCTATAAGAAAAGTATCACCAACAAATAATAGTAAAATAATAAAAGAAAAGTGCATTATAGAAACAGTGAATTTTAAAAAGAAGACCAGGATAAATAAATCCATTAAAAGTAAATTAATAGATTAATATTTAAAATTTTTTTTTTAATCTTCAAGCAATATGAAATAATTTTATTTAAAATTTTTATTTATCTCATACAATAATGCAGTTCATTACTTAAATTTTAGATAGTATTCCTGGCGTTAGAATTGCAAAACTGTCTTTTGTAGGATTAGGTAAAGACAAAAATGATAATAAATCTGTTAAAAAACAACCAAAGGAAGTTAGTGTGAAGCTTCACGATCCAAATGATTTTTTAACAGTTTTTTGTAATCCAGATCCATTTGCTGCTACCATGACACACGATCCATTTCTTTCCAGGTAATTATAAATTAATTCCTGTTACAATTTGAAATATTGTTATTTTATTCTATTAATGAATATTAATACATTATAGTACACTTTATTATGACGAGCGATGGATATTAATACAAGAATTAGAATTCAAAAAGTGGTTAAATGCTTTACTGACGCCTCCAGAGCACTTAACAACTGATATCGAATCAGCTCCAATAGATATTGGTAAAGTTTGGCAGTCGTGTCGAGCGAAGGAAGATATTGCTTTAGCTGAGACAAAAGAATCAATATCTGCACGATATCACACAAATACAAGATTAAATACTTTACGTAAGGCTGCATGTGTTATGTTTCATAAAACAGAAGTAATAGCTGTTCTATCTCAAGCTACTATTAGTATTGAGAAAGAAATATTACTTATAAGATCCGATAAGGATTTACACCGTGATATAGGTAAATAATTAAATTTACTAAAGATAAAAAATAATAGATAAAGAAAAGTTTCTAATTCTAACAAATCTTTGTTTCTTCTGCCATAGGTTTACAAAAAATTATTCTTGAATTATTTATTAGTTATAATCCCCTTTGGTTAAGAATAGGATTGGAAACAATTTATGGAGAAACTATTCCTCTTCAATCAAATAATGATTTAATTGGCCTCTCAAGGTTTCTTATAAATAGGTTTTTTTCCGATCCATATCTTGTCAAGACACACTCTTCGCATTCTCATCCAAACATAAGGCACAGTACCTTTCAAGCTGTAATGAACAAATTTATACTTAAAAAATTTCTATTCTTTGTCTATTTTGTGGATTATGCTAAAAGAAATAAGCTTATAGGACATGATCCATGCTTATTTCATAAGAAAGCATTAATTAAAGAAAGCAGGTCGATTCTATTGGCATTTTCTCGCGAACTCCTCAGCGGAATAGGTGATATCACTAAGGTTCTACGAAATTCTAATTATATAGTACTTCATAAGCAAACATATCTAGATGAGTATGATTATGCTTTGGTGAATTTGCGTACCGATTTAAGGGATGGAGTACGACTTTGCAGAGTTATGGAGCTGATAACGGGAAAACGGTGTCTCACGTGTCAATGCAGAGTACCGGCTATTTCTCGCTTACAAAAAGTTCACAATGTTAATGTGGCATTAAATACGCTTAATAAAGCTGGTTACATAATAACGGGTGATATTGACGCAAAAAGTATCGCGGATGGCCACAAAGAAAAAACTCTTTC